CTCGTCCCACGTCTCCTTGGTGCAGCTCACCCTGCGCTCCGAGGGCTTCGACACGTACCGCTGCGACCGGAACCTGGCCATGGGAGTGAACCTCACCAGCATGTCCAATATATTAAAATGTGCTGGCAACGAAGACATTATTACACTAAGGGCTGAAGATAATGTGGACACCTTGGCGCTAGTATTTGAAGCACCAAATCATGAGAAAGTATCAGACTGTGAAATGAAGTTAATGGACTTAGATGTTGAACAACTTGGAATTCCAGAGCAAGAGTACAGCTGTGTCGTAAAGATGCCTTCTGGTGAATTTGCACGTATATGCCGAGATCTCAGTCATATTGGAGATGCAGTTGTAATTTCTTGTGCAAAAGATGGAGTCAAATTTTCCGCAAGTGGAGAACTTGGAAATGGAAACATTAAGTTGTCACAAACAAGTAATGTCGATAAAGAAGAGGAAGTTGTTACTATAGAGATGAATGAGCCAGTGCAACTAACTTTTGCACTGAGGTACTTGAATTTCTTTACAAAAGCCACTCCACTCTCTCCTANATAAATCTGAAGACATAAAACTTGCTATGGAACAAAATGTTAAGAATAATTTTGCCTGAGGCAAGTCTAAATTTGGCTCTAATGAGCGTGTTTTCAACTACGTTCTCTGCTCTCTGGCCCCACAGGGTACATTCATTCCATTATTATTTCTGTCCTTTAGAGGAAGGTGGAAATTTTCACAAAGATTTGCTTCCTCTCTCTTGACCTATGGCCAGGAGAACTGTCATTCCTGCCCCTCCCCTCCCCTCCCTCCTCCTTGGGCTGCTCTTCTTTTCTTTGGTATCTGTATTCTGTTCTCTTGGAACTGGTAGCTTCCTTGGCATTCTAACACAAGTAGAAAGGCCTGTAATATATTTCTTTTCAGTCATCACAAGGTGGATAGATGTCTGTTTTGTTTTCCTGATATGTTTGCTGTCCTCAGTGAAGTGAAAAAATTAGCATGATTACTTTTTAGTGACTTCCACTGATTGGTTCAGAAACTGGCTACACTGGTTCACCCTCTCCTCTTTATTTTAACCATCTTACTGATTTTTACCCGATCTGTCCATATTCTATTTCAGATCATGTTTTAGCATCCTCTGCTGGTTGAGGAGATCAGAGGTTGGCCAATTTTATAGTACCTCAGACCTATGTACATATTACATTTGGTCTTAGTCATGAATAATATTAGAGATTATGAAATAAAAAAATTACTGTATTATGTGTGTAATTATAGCATGCTAGTTACTTAGAAAATACTGCTTTGGGGCATTAAACGGCTGCGGGAGTAGCAGCTGCGTCGTTGCCATTCCTCCACCATGTTCGAGGCGCGCCTGGTCCAGGGCTCTATCCTGAAGAAGGTACTGGAGGCGCTCAAGGATCTCATCAACGAGGCCTGTTGGGACATCAGCTCGAGCGGCGTAAGCCTGCAGAGCATGGTCTCGTCCCACGTCTCCTTGGTGCAGCTCACCCTGCGCTCCGAGGGCTTCGACACGTACCGCNCTCTTACACCTATAATTACTTCAAAAGTAAATTTGAGATAGTGGAATATTCCCCTTGATATATTTTGTTTTGTATTAAATTTAACCTGGTTTAGTTCCTTACTGTAATTTCTAGATTGTGATTACCTGAAAGTGCTTTTAACAGACTATGTTCAGTTCCACATTTAAATAATGTAGGCAAATTTTCCTGTGTGAGTGTAAAAAATGCATTTTTATACATTTAAAATGTATGTAGTTATGACATTTATGTATTCAGTATACTGGAAAAATTTGATGTTAGTTTAGGAATTGGAGTAGTAAAGAATCATTTGGATTATTAACTCTCTTACTTGGGCATCACATGTTCTCCCCCTAACAAGATGATGTAAAAATATATTCATTAAAACCATGTGGAATTCTAGATTTCAACATGTGTTCATTAAATTTTTATCTTGGCTAAAATGCTAAATAAAAAAAAAACTTTTTTTTTTTTTTTTTGTCTTTTTTCGTGACCGGCAACGGATCGCAACCCTCAG